CTCTCTCTCTCTCTCTCTCTCTCTCTCTCTCTCTCTCTCTCTCTCTCTCTCTCTCTCTCTCTCTCTTCTTCGTCGTTGTCCTCTGTGAAGGTACGCGTCACCTTCCTCCGCAGTGCAGCTATGGTGGACTTCTTCTTCACGGTGGCGCACTTCAGCTATGGCCCCCGGTGATGGCGCACGTCTCTCCCTTGCTGCAACGGCGATGGTGCGTGAGATAGCGGGTACCAGCTCCGATACCAGTGCAATCAAACTCACTTTCTTCTTCGCTTCGCATGCATACAAACAGATGGTGATTCACACTGGCGCATAGCGCCCACCGCAAAGCTCACAGATATGGAAACCAAGAACACAGTTCGGATGCAAACTCGCTTCAACAGGCTATGGTGCACCAGCACCTATACATCCCAACTCTCGTCATTGTGTCCAACACCACTGTTCGCTCACACTTCAACTCTGGATCACCCTGGATATCGCACACGCAACACACTGTACCCTCGCACACTCACACACGCCGCCCTCTCTCCTATCAACCCGAAGTTGTTCTGGCAGCCTCAGTCAGTTTAGCTTATGAGCCAAGCTCTGTTCCCTGTCCAACTCTATATATGTTCTAGGCTACCTGGAAACGGGGTCCAGTGTCCCATTCCGAACCCAAAAAGCTTTCAATAAAAACTCGTACTTGAAGCACAGGAAAAAAAAGGGAGGGGGGGGGGGTTCTGCCCTCCTCACTTGTATCATTACTTGAGTCACTTAACTATCCTTTATGATATTGTTATCATTAATACATTGAGTCACTGCCCAATATGGAGACTCCTCTCCGCCTTAAAGCAGTACTCATCTCTTGAGATTTAACACGATCTTTTGCCTTTCAGCATTGATCACTCAACCAGGGAGCCAACCAGAGCTTCCCATTCGACATAATCTTATAGAAAAAACGCCTTTAAGAGCATCAGTATTCCTCTGCATGTGAGGGCTGCATATCCCCAACCTTCTTATAGCTTTGTCTTTTCTAGTGGGGTTCCAAATAAGATCCATTTATCAGTTCGTTCCCATCTGGGTCCCACCTGAGAGTCCCATAATGATTTCCACCACATCCATAGCTCGTCTGCTAGGGACAGAGTAGCCATAGATGCTCAGTGGATTCCCATCCCCAGTTGCATCATTCGCAAGTAGTACTCAGTTTCATACCTCTAGTGCGCAACCACATTGTTGAGGGTGTTACCTGCATAGATTGTGCCCACATCAGTGTAGCCTCTTTTTAAGATGAAATCTTCCTCAGTGTTTTCCAAACGAGTGGGGAATCCGGAACTTCCTCCGTCTCACCTCGATCCTTCTGGAATCTTCGTACCGCCACGTCCTTCGGCCTTGTTTTTTTCAGGTGGCATACTGCTACTCCCATTCTAGTCTCATAGTTCCTTCCTACCCCTCAACTTCCAGCTTTGGAAGGTCTGATCTACCCTGAAAGACTCGACTTCCCCCCTTAACAGCATCCCTCGGCGGGTGCCCTTGCTGTCCTTTTCTCATGCTCTTACTTCTGTTAGTTGCTTTGTTGTCTGTATGGTCCTTTTCTTTACAAATGATACTTTTTTCCCATACTTTCCTTCCCTACCAACCGCCCATCTTTCCACTTTCATTCCCTGCTGGAGGTCCGGACCCAGCACCCTCAGCACCCCCTCTACTCTTGCTGCTGCTGGGTCTACTAGCCAAGTACCTTGTCCGTGTTCCAATTCTTGTTTCAACATACCCTCCCACTGTCGGATGATTGCTTCCAAAATAGCAGTCAGATTCTCCTGCACAGCCTGAAGTCGAGGGAGTCTTCTTTTGATGTTTTCGTATGTTATCCACGTTTGATTTTTCTCATCCCATAGATGTTTAATCTGGAGAATTCCCTTTTTCTACCTATTACTTGGCAAAGCTACCTCCCTTCTCAACTGTGTAGAAGGGGATGCCTGGCACAGACTTAATCAAATTATTGTTGAATAAGGCTTGGTTAGTTATCTTCAGCTTTGAGGTGGGTTCCTTCAGGGGCACGGGTCTGATATTATTCCATCTCCAACTTTGAGGTGGGTTCCTTCAGGGGCATGAGTCTGATTTTATTCCAGACCTTCAGTATCCCACTCCATACTTTAGATTTAACTTATCCTTCCCATATTTGTTTGGACTAGACATGTCCGAACCTGCTCCCCCTCACTCAAATCCCAATCTTTTTTGAAAACGTACTCCGCCATCTTTATCCAAATCTTTTGTTTTTTGTTATCTGACAATGCTTTGAACACCCACTTCCGGAGCAGTGCAGTATTTTGATGCTTTGGATCTAAAATTCTCAATCCTCCCTTTGTTCTGGGGAAGGTGATTGTGTTTCATGCCACTCTCGCAATAAACCCCTGATCTTCCGTGGCCGCTGGTTTCCATGTGTATCTAGCTGCCACCTTTTTAATTGCTGTATACTCCTCATCACCTAATGGAGCAGGACTGTCACTTCCTTCCTCTCTTTAAATATTATTTCAAGGGTCTGTAGGGTGGTCATTATATTCTCAAATATTGACCGGCCCCTTACAAAGGCCCCCTGTTCTTGCCCAACCAGGAGAGGAAGCACGTTTGTCAGTCTCATTGCGTATACCTTAGCTAATATTTTATATGCTACGTTTAAAACTGATATTGGTCAATAGTTTTTTACCTCGGCCTTATCTCCTTTCTTATATAGGAGCGATATAACCCCTTTCAGCAAATTCCCCGGTAGTCTGCCTGCTGACCTGATGTTGTTGTATATGTCACAGAGAAAAGGCTCGAAGGCTGACCAACAGGCTAGGTAAAGCTTCACTGGTAATCCATCGAGACTTGGGCATTTTCCCAATGTCATTTACTTTATCGCTCTTCCCAGATCCTCGATTGTGAATGGTTAGCCCAGGGTCCTCGATGCCGAACACGAGATCTGGATTGTGGTCCTATCCCAGAAGCTGCTAATGTCCGATAGATCTGTTTCTAGGGTGTCGAATGGTCTCCTAATAGAGACAATATCTTTGAAATACTCATAGGCGTTTGCACACATTATCTCCATGTTCGAGGTCGGGGTCTGGTCGATTGTGAACGGGTGGTGCAACTCCCTTATCAACGGTTTGGCTTGCCTCAAGATTAATGATCTAAATGATAACGTAGTCATTCGGTCATAACCTATGATTCCGCGAAAGTTTTTGCCCCCTAAGAACCCACTTTGCGTCCTGGTCACCCGCCGCAAAAAAATGCGACACCTTGACAGAGATGAGGAAACCCACTATACCGCAACTTTAGGTATGCGAACTATACAGCAACTTTAGGACTGTGATTATCTACCGCGTGGGCGCGGGGAACGCAGCCCTAAGGTAGCC